CCCCCAAAAAAAATCTATACAACTTAATTGCAACTTGGTACCTAGGCTGATGACCAAACAAGGAGTAACATATTCAGGGTAACTTTCTCTCCCACCAAGTCACCTCCAGCACTACAAGACACTGTGCCCTAGCTGAAGACAGTCAGAAACTGTCTAATACCACGCTGTTTTCCACAAGCTCACTTCACAGGTACTTACATATATGTTTTCAGGATGGTGAGGTAGCTGTCTCAGCAATGCATCCAGCTCATCAAACTTTTTTAATACAGCATGAACTTCCACAGACAGTTCTTTATACTCAGCAAACTGGTCATTGAATACTGCTTTGTACCGGTCTCGCATTTCATTTGTTTGAATTGCTGGGTATTTCCTTAAAAAAAGTTTTCAAGGATTAGTCTTAGAGATAGGAATTCAACAAACACATGGACCCTTCATCTTTATAGTATATTTCTGTATTGTTTGCTAATCTCATAACCTGATGAAATATGCATACATACAAAGCACTGAAATCACAGAATGACGATGGTTAAGGTTGGAAGGGATGTCTGGAGGTCACCTGGTCTTGCCCTGGATTTCGTCCAGATGGTTTTTGAGTATCTCCAAGGGTGGAAACTCCGTAAGCTCTCTGGGCAACCTGTGTTAACCCTCACAGTGAAATAGATTTTCCTAACATTCAGATGAAACTTCTTGTGGTTGGTTGTACCCTAGTCTACAGCAAGTAGTATAAAAAAAGTACGATCTCATACTTCACTGTGGAAAGGCCTACCCTTTGAAAGGAAGCACATTACATATTTAGCACTTAGAAAGTACAAAACCAGTAAAATTTCAGGGGCTAAAAAGACAAGTAATTTCCCAAGTATTTTATTATTTTCTAAACTGTCTGTGTGGTGGTCCCCTATTCCTTCGGCAGTTTTTGTACCTGCTAGATCATAACATTCTGCTTCACAACTTGAGGTTTGGATGGGTTTTTTTAGATTTAAGATCCTTTACTTATGTAACTGGTTCTATGCCATTGATACCAGCCCTCATCCTCTCTATCTGTAACATTAGCTTGATAAGAATTGTGAGTTCCCATAGCACATGCATGGCAGAGAAACTGTTGAGTGTACGTATGAGAAATGCTGAGTGAAAAACATCATTCAAATATTCTCCATTAGGTTTGTTCATCAAAATCAAGTCACTTACGCTAAGTAGTCTGGCATCACAATAGGTTTAGGAATGTGGCCTGCAGGTATATGACCATTAAGTAGTTCTGGTTTTCTTTCCACTGATTTAAGCTGCCTGTAAGTGACCTCTTCTCTTGGTCTGTCATCACTTTCATACTGTTTGAAAAGAAAAAAAAAATAGTTCTTAATGAAGTTGGGTTTACTTCAAATGCAATATACATAAACCACAAAATACCCAACTCATTTGAAGATGGCGATACAAATATTGAGCAGCAGTAGAAGCAAATCATAGCTATTTCTTACAACCCTTATTGAAATCAGGAAATTAGTAAAGAGTTACAGTAATGCTTCTCACACAGTATCTGTCTTCAGTTTGTCTAACAGCAGTACCACTGACAGCTAAATACTTCTTGGGGCTTGGAAAGATTTGTCTTGTATGTCTTAAAAAAACAATTTAAGGAAGTTTCCTCAGATATCCATCTAATTTGTGAATGAACAGGAATCAGTCAGTTCTCCAGAGTTTCCTTTTCCACTTGCACAATTTATTTCCTGATCCAGAAATAAAAGCATGTGGAGTCTTGTTAGGACACGTAAAAAAGGATCCTGATCCAGTACTGAAGCAACTGGGGAAATTTGCAGTATCTAACAGGAGATATTTAAGAGTGAAATAAAAAGACCATAAAGTCTTGAGGAATCATCAACATCTGCTGTTAAGATTCTATACAGTCTTTATGCAACTGTATCTTTGTGCAGCAGAAGCACTAACACCGCTGATACTTCAAAACCAGCAAGGTGGTCTTTGGAGGGACGGATGAGGGAGAAGTCTCAGAGACACAGGAACAATCTCAACTCACAGAGCACCTACCACTTGCTTCCACTGGCTTTCCTCCAAATTAAGCAGCCAGCCTGCAGGAAAGTCTCCAAAACCTACAGTGCATCAGATGACTTGCTGTTCTAACCACGTCTGCCAAACTGTGACAAATGCTACAGAACTTGTCACTTCCATAAAAGAGGGTAAGAACGCACAGAGGCAGTCATCAGATTTGCTATTTACAGTAGATTTTATAACCTAGCCTAACTAATAGTTAACTTTCTAGCAAGCTGCTTCTGAATCTTCTAGCTAGGAGAATGTTGTTTGGACTACATTAAAGAATTAAACCTGATCTCTTCCAAGCCAAGTAAGAAAATAAAGAGATAGGTCAATCAAAACAGTCACAAGAAAATTAACAACCATTTTGCAATACCAGTAAACAGAAAAATAAACTACTGTTTCCTACCTTCTTTTCTGGAAAAGAGGACTGTGTTTTCATCTGTCAAAAAATTGAAAGAACTGTAAGTTTTGTTGTTTTCAGCAAAAACAGTATGCAAAGGGACACACTCTTAATCTAAAAATTTTCAAAATCACGCTGCACAGAGAATTACATTCTAATTAGGTTTAAAGAAATTTAGCATAGGGAATATTCACAGATTAATTGATTTAAAGACTGTTTAAGAATGGTGGAACGAAAACAACTACCCAAAATGCAGAACAACAACACGATCTCCCAGAGCACAGCTGTAACGAACAGCTTGCAGGAAATACTCCATTTACCTCCCAGTCTCCTTCATTATTTCACATTCCAGTCCGTATTAACTCACTGACACTCTGCAGGCTAATTTCACTGCCTTGGAAAGACAACAGTTCACTAACCAGTAGCTCAACCAGCAGCTGTTTTGCACAGCACTCTCCAGAGCCTAAACTGTATTATACAAGTATTCCCTTTAGAAATGTTACGTGACTGGAATAAATGAATGTGGATACTAATAGGGAAGAGCAATCGGACACTTTCCGTATAATTCCAGCAATCATTTTATTCTTGCTGGACATATTAAAAGTTAGATTAAAAAACTTTTGTCAAAGAGCTGCAACATACTTTTCAAATGGGGAGTCTCAGTTTTGTATCAGATGGTGGAATGGAAACCAGTGTTAAATGAGAATGCTGCAAATCAGAGTTGCATTTCCTCTGCTCTGTGACTGCAGTCTGAAGTCACTCTCCTACTAAATTCACTTAAATGCTGGCTGCTCCTTAAATTAGGCTTATGTAGGCTTCACATACGTTCATTTTTATGCTATATTAAGTTTGATTAATTTTTTAAAGATTTTTTGGTGGTCTTTTCGCATGAAGGAGGTGTTACACAAATGACTGAGCTCTCAAGCTAAGAGCAATTACAGTTTATCATTAACCAGCGGAGTATTGAACACTTCTAATAAGGTCAAGGCCATCAGCAATGCAAAATACCCGATGTGATAAAGATATTGATTGAAATCTGAGACACAAAAAATCTAGTTAACTCTGTTATTAGTATTATTTTCTGGTAACTATTGTAAAGAAAGCTGAAAAATAAAAATAAAGTAGCTTGGAGTTTTGCTTGCAAAGTAAAAATCAGTATTTCATGTTCTTACAGTCATTCACACTAGCACTTAATGTGCTCAAAGCCTAGCTTTCAAATAAATGCTAGGTGGTCTTAAGGCTAACTCTACTGAACAGCTGAACAAACATATTGTTCACTTCTTCCTTTGGAAAATACACACCAGGAAGTAGTTCATCAGCTGATACAGGAAGAGCTGAGTATTACAAACAGAACAAAACCAGATCCTTACCAAAGTGAATTAAAAAAAAAAAAACCCAAAAATTTGTATCAGACATATTAAAAATGCCTTTCACTTGGTGATATCAAAAACTGTTAAGACTGGTGGAAGTTCACCCTCCAAGACCTGCTGCTGAGAAGACACCTGTCAGGACTGTGTCTACGGCATGGAAAGATCTTCCAAGTGCTCCCCATCACAGCATATCCAGGGGATACAGAATAGTAACTCGGGACTCACCTCCTGTTCCATTAGTTCCCTGTGCCTCCTGGCTCCTTCATGCCTCCATAGCTTTAGAGAAACCACCGCACTGATTAGATAGATGATTACGGTGACAAACAAGAAGATGATCGCTGCTGTCTGACCTCCCTCTACACGGCAAAAAGATGCATTTATCGGCGTCTTAAACAACTGGTAATAGCAGAGCCCACCTCGATTGGTGTCGTTTACGTACACTATGGCAGCCGACATGTACAGAAAGAACAAGGCGACGTTAATGCCGAACTCGGTCAAAGGCCACCAGTTGGAATCGAGAAGGATAGTCCGGTAGTACATCGACATGCCCAGCACCAGCAGCACGATCGTGACTATCCACGCCATTCCCGCCACCACCAGGATGAAGGGCGTTTTGGGTCCGCTGTAGGAGTAGCCTCCATAGGCGCCGCCGGGCCCGTAGCCGTAGGGCTGCGAGTACCCGAACACGTTGTACCACTCGTTGTCCTTGTGCACGTAGGCCGTAACGCAGGCGAAGACGGCGGCGCCCAGCAGCAGCTCCGCCACGCAGAGGATTCTGAGCAGGCCGGCCCAGGACTTCATGTAGGCGTAGCGCTGGTTGTAGGCCTCCACCCGCTCGCTGTACGCCCGGCCGCTGGCAGCGCGCCTCTCCAGCGAGCCGAAGGGGTCCGCGGGCAGCATGGCCTCGGCCTCCTTCCGCGAGTGGTAGCTCCCGCCCGATCCTCCGTAAGGATCCTTGTAGGAGCCGGGCACCGACCGGGGCTCCGGCTGCACAGGGCCCGGGGAGGGCGGCGGCGAGCACTCGACCCCGTCCGAGACGTACCTGATGTCGGAGGCCGCGCTGTCCCAGCTGGAGCCGTTGTTGCGCCTCCCTCTGAAAAAGTTCTTCCACGAGTCCGGGATGAACCGCCGGACCGGCTTGAGCTCGGCCGGCCCGCTC